GGCCAGCAGTGTATTTCCTGGGGTGGAGGTCCTGGCGGAGCAAAGGTGAGCAGCGTGAGTGGGCCAGGAGGGGACCATTCATCTTAACAGAGGGGACCTCACACAGTCCGCCTCCCTCTGATCAGCATTGGAGGACCAGGGCTGCACTTGCCATCTGCATGCTGAGGTGCCCTTTCGTTTCCTCTTTCCTCAAGGATACAGGGTACCCTTGAACCCAGAGGTGAAGCCCTTGGTCTGACTTACTAGTCCTCAGGTCACAGAGCAGAGGTGTGCCAGGCAGTGCCAGGAATTAAGGTGAGGGGCCATGACTGATGTGTATCCAGCGTCTCCTTCACCCCCAGAAGAGGGGACCCCATAGCACACGATATCCTCCTACCTTGTCAGCTCCAGAACCTTTGGTTGTGCCTTCTGAATGCTAAGCAGTCATCTTACTTCCTCCTCCAGGTCTTTAGAAGACAGGCTGCCCAGGAGGAGTGACCCCTGTGAGGCCTGAGAGCACCCCTAGAGAGGAGACCTGTAAGTCGCCTTTATCAGAGCTGCCTAAGGTGTGTTTCTCAGCTGATGCTGCTCACACCCCACTCTCCCAGGCCTATGGGTCCCTATCACCCACCTCTGCCCATACTTTTTTGCAGCCTAACACGAGTCACCATGCCTTTCAATCAAATGGGTGAGCTCTTCGAGCTTGAAGACTATCAGGACCCAAGAGAGAACCAGGGCCTGCTGGTGGGGCACTTCTTCGAATCTGATGACGAAGAAACCCCGTCCCTCTCCTCTTCCATATCTTCCACCCCCCCTGTCCTGTTCCCTGACAGCCAGGAGGAGGTATCTGATGCTCTAATACCAAGTTATCCTCAGAACCCTCACTGTGCTGGTCCCTCCCCGGCTGCCATGGAAGATATTCCATGGAGCGAAAGTGAAGATGAGGGCTCCAGCAGCCAAGATGAGGAGGAGCCAAGCACCTTGGAGGTCCCTGAAGATGCCGAATCTTTGCTCAAACATGCTCTGCGTTTGAAGGTGGCCAAGCTGGTAGTTTTCCTGCTCCTGAAGTATCGTGCAAAGGAGCCGACTACAAAGGAAGAAATGCTGAGCAGCGTCATTGAAGAGTGTCAGGACCACTTCCCTGAGATCTTCAGCCGAGCCTTGCAATGCATGCAGCTCGTCTTTGGCATTGATGTGAAGGAAGTGGACCCCAGCAACCACACCTATGTCCTGGTCACCAGTCTGGGCCTTACCTATGATGGGATGATGAGCAATGGGCCCAGCATGCCTAAAACCGGCCTCCTGGTCATGCTCCTGTGTGTGATCCTTGTGGAGGGTGGCTGTGCCTCTGAAGAAAAAGTCTGGGCAGTCCTGAATGACATGGAAGTGTATGATGGGAGGGAGCATTTCATCTATGGGGATCCTAGGGAGCTCATCACAAATATTTGGGTGCAGGAACAGTATGTGAAGTACCAGCAGGTTCCCAACAGTGATCCTGCTCGCTATGAGTTCCTGTGGGGTCCCAGGGCCCATGCGGAAACCACCAAGTTCAAAGTCCTCGAGTTTTTGCTTAGGATCCATTCAGGGGATGCCAGTTCCTTTGCATCCTTGTCCAAAGGGCCTGAGAGAGATGCAGAAGAGAAGTCCTGAGCCACATCTGCTGACAGGCATTTTTCAGGCCCAAGTCCAGCATCATCTCCTGCTGGGCATGAAGTGAGGCCAATTCTTCACCCTCTGTTTGAGGAGAACCGTCAGCAATCTAGCTAGTAAGGGCCAGGCCAAATTGTGGGAACAAGTGTGTAGTAGTAGCAAATTTAGAAATTTATCTTTGTTGCAAGTTTGTGATCCTGAACTAGATAACGTGGCATTAGAACAGGATTTCCTTGGAAATGTGAAAAAAACTAGCAGTTGAATTCCTGTAGTTAAGAAATAGAGAAATAAAAATAAAACACTGTTAATTCTGGTTTCTTATCCTTCTTTTCAGTCATTCTATGAAACATATGTGAATACTTAATTTGATTGGTTCATTCAAGAAAGTGGGAGACATTTCCTGGGAGTAAAGAAGACCCCTGCTCAGAGGTTCATTTATTCCCCTGACATTCACTGAGCTTCTGTCCTCTGGAAGGCCCCGTGTTAGTGGTGGGGACGCTAGGATAAGCAGGACAGACCCACGAATATAATAATTGTGCAGGGACTGCAGTCATGTAAGGAAGGTGCTGAGGCGTCCCCCAAGTCCTATAGAATAAGTCAAAGAAGTGGAGATGAGGTAGGGCTCCAGGGCAGAGCACTCAGGCGTAACTGTCCCAAGCCAGGGCAGCTTGGGCCTTCGGGAAAATGCAATTTCCTCTGTGGGGTTTTATTGTAATGAGCTGGGTGGGGGCCTCTGCTAAACTGAGCAGGTAGTGTGTCTGGGAATGAGAGGAAAGTCTGAAATGGAAAATTGTACTGAGAAGTTCCTTTTGGATCTTGGAAAAATCTCCATCTGTTACAGGGAGCTAGTATCCTGTAGTTTTCTCTCAGTGCATTTGAACACAGAGATCAAGGTGTTTTATCCCCATCATCTGCAAGGATTTTCTGAGAAATCAGGATCCCTGACCTTGAAGGAATGAGTCACTGGACAGGCACTCTTCCCTGAGTGGCTGGTGTGCTGAGACTCAGCCATGGTCATGTTTTGCTGAGAAGTCCCCATTCCCCAGCCAGATCTACAGCTTGCTCTGAATTCCAGCCTCCTTGGCATGGCACTAACCTGCCTGATTCTTGCTTGCCCTCCTCTGTGAGAAATATCCGTGGCAGTTGTCGTGGGACCTTTTGGAGCAAGTAATTGGTCTTCAGTCTACCCCTGTCCTTGGTTCCTGAGTGGGACTGGCCATTGGGATAGGGCTGGGCTGGTGGCAGTATGCAGTGTGTTTCACCATGGAATGTTCACAAGACAGAATCGGGGCAAAGCCATGTTTGTCCTGCACTCAGACATACGGTCTGTCCAACAGGGACCCACAGACTCTCACCCGGTGTGGAAGCATGAGAGTTGCCAGGCCCCGTGCACTGCTAGACTGGGCAGATGGAGTGTCTTGGGCATGAGAGGAAGGTCTGAAATGGAAAATTGCTGAGACATATTCCTTTTAGATCATGGAGAAATCAGAGAGAAATAGCCACCTGTGTAGCAAGGGTGAGTGCCCTGCACTCAGTCCTCATGCCATTGGACCCAGTGGGAGGACTAGGGTTTTATCTGGATCATCTGCCCAGATTTCTAGAGAAATATGGTCACTCTCCTTTGAAGTGTGGCCCAGAAGTCACCAGACAGGCACTCTTCTCCATGGCCTGGGAGAGCCAGAGCCCACAGCATTAATTAGGTTTGAAGTTTAATGACCTCGAGTATAATTTGGCCAATTATTATCAAGGGGTACTTTCAATGGGGGCAGAAATGGAGGAAAGAAGGGCTTCGAATGAAAGAACAGCTTCGAGGGAGGGAAGGGGTTGGCCCTTGACTCTCTGTCTGGGAGCTCTGTGTTGTATCCATCTGGGAAGACTGCCCCGCACCTGGATTTGAATATAGATCCTTTAATCAAGAAGATTTGCTGAGTTTTGTTTATAGAACATCCTCTTTGGCTGATCGGCCATTCCATGTTTTATTGAGCTATATATTCTCTAACATGACACGGGTAAGAAACAATCAAACAAAGTCCCAGAGGAGAGAGCAGAAGAGTCTGGGATCAAAACAATAGAGAAATAACTGTCATTCATCAAAGTTCCATTACACAGCAGGCACTGTGCGAGGTGCTTTACAGACACTCCATACATTCCTGCAGTCCCATAGGACAGGGCTTACCAAACCCACTTACTTCACAGAGGAAAAACCTGAGGCTCGTGGGGCCTGGTGATTTTTCCAGGGTCACATGGCTAGTAAGTGACAGGGTGGAGACTGGACCCCTGGTCTGAATTCGTCTAGAGCCCGTGATATCCACACCCACTCCAGCCTGTGGCTGACCTTCTACCTCACAAATTATTTCTCTTCCCGGTACTATATGTTACTTCTGTCAGATGACAAGCAGTCGGACCCAGAGGCGCAGGTAGTAAAAGCAGGCCTAAGAAGGCGACATGGAGAATCAAACACAATTTGGGGATTGTCTGAGGTTTGCTGACAGCTGACTCTGCCAGGTGCCAGCATCTCTGCCCAGTACTAGCACTTTCCCGCGTGAAAGCACCGTTCCCCAGGTCTCCTCCGTATGCCCTACTGTCCAACTCTGTCACCTGGTCTGGGACCTGACCCGCTCCTCGCTACTGCCTCCTCTGAAGGCTGCACAGAATCTGCTGCCCTCGCCATGGCAGAGAGCATTCCTACTCCCTGTAGAATTCCCCTGCTCTACCATATCTTACTCTCGATCCCATCTGAGAGGCACAGCCCTTTGAATCGGAAGCGTTACTTTGGACCAGGATGTTTAGATACCTGGCCATCCCTCTCTGGGAGTGTTCAACACACACTCTGTTTTCCTAATGGGCTGAATGGAGTGTGATTGTGCCTATAATCTACTGGGCCTGAGGATATGACCCTGAAGATACGCAGAGGATTTTTGAACACATTCTGGCGTTTGCAGTAGGACTTTAAGGGGCTTCTTAGTTGAAGGTGGGAGCTGAACACATACACAGATGAAAGAGCTTATTTAGGCAATCAGAAATTCACACCTCCTCATAAGTGTTAAATGAGGAACAAACTGACTGAAACCAAAATTCCTTGAAAAAAATTAAAAAGAAAACCTGGAGTCCTCCTAGGAGATAAATGGTTCTTTGGTGAACGTGTTAGGCCAAATTTTAAAAGAAAAAATAATTAGCCATCCTGCAACTGTCTCTTGTCTAGTACCTACCCCACAGGAAAATCACGGTTTTCAGTGACCCTAGTGACACCTGTGCAGGAGTTCAAACAAGTTCCGTCATAGAGAGCCTAGCAGAGACTCACAGATTAAAATTCGACCCATGCATCCTAAGGAGGGAGAAAATTCTTAGCGTGCTGTCATTGTAGACGAAATTGCAAAGTGCAGAAAGGTGCTACTCAGTGAAGAGGCGAATTCTCCCTGCTGAGGTTTACATGATTCTCTGTATCGGCAGGCATCTGTCACATAGTAGGCACTTAAAAATTCAGAGCATTTCAAGGCAAATCTGACCCCAGGAACTCCTCCAAGCAATGAAGATACTGCATAACAGTGCATGGGAGGGACTTCAAAGCCCATCCACAGCTCGTCTTGCTCTCCCTCCTGGACACAGGGGACACCGCGTCGCCAGTCCACTTGTAGCTAGAAAGGGTCATGGGATGACTCTTTACCAGTGAGACATGAGCAGAAGCATTGTCTGTCACATCCAAGCACTTGAGAGCCAGTATGACAGTTCCTTGCTCTGTCCCTCGGTTCCCCAGCAAACGTGGTGACTCTGTGCTGGGGAAACCATAGGATAGAAGCAGCCTGGATCCCTGGATCTCTACAGCAGAGGGCCCTGCCAAACTGCATCAGAATATATTTCTATTCTACCATTTCTATTATTAGGTTTATATAAATATTCTTAAATATAAAGTTGACTATATATTGCACACAGTGTATATTACATACATTGCATATATACTCTTGTTACCAAAAAAAAAAAAAAACTCTAAAAATCAAAATATAGATAAATCACAATTTCTCTCTTTACAAAATTACTCTCAAATTTTGCCTCCGCCTCAGAGGTCACCACAAATGACATTTGTGTCTATGTTTTCAAAGCTAATTCTAGGACTTTTTATATACAGATTGCTATGAAATATGCGGTATTGTCTATGATGTACATATTGATCTGTCACATGCCTTTGCCACTTAATGAGATGGATGCAGGATAGCATATATGACAGCACATATAGACCTACTTTGCTTTTGCAAGAGAACCAAACAACTGTATTCAAAAACAGGCAGAGGATTGGAACAGAATTTCTCTCCCAAGAAGATATGCATGTGGCCACTAAGCAAATGAAAAGATGCTAAACATCACTAATCATTAGGGAAATGCACATCAAAACCACAGTAACACATAAACTCACACCCATTAGAATGGCTATCCCTCGGTTCACCAGCAAACGTGGTGACTCTGTGCTGGGGAAACCACAGGATGGAAGCAGCCTGGATCCCTGGATCCCTACAGCAGGGGGCCCTGCCAAACCGCATCAGAATATATTTCTATTCTACCATTTCTATTATTAGGTTTATATAAATATTCTTAAATATAAAGTTGACTATATATTGCACACAGTGTATATTACATACATTGCATATATACTCTTGTTACCAAAAAAAAAAAAACTCTAAAAATCAAAATATAGATAAATCACAATTTCTCTCTTTACAAAATTACTCTCAAATTTTGCCTCCGCCTCAGAGGTCACCACAAATGACATTTGTGTCTATGTTTTCAAAGCTAATTCTAGGACTTTTTATATACAGATTGCTATGAAATATGCGGTATTGTCTATGATGTACATATTGATCTGTCACATGCCTTTGCCACTTAATGAGATGGATGCAGGATAGCATATATGACAGCACATATAGACCTACTTTGCTTTTGCAAGAGAACCAAACAACTGTATTCAAAAACAGGCAGAGGATTGGAACAGAATTTCTCTCCCAAGAAGA